TTATGGATAATATATTCAGTGTAATATTTTTGTTTGGGAAAAATTATTTATTTCAAGATCAGATGAAAAAAAACTTATTTCTTGATGTTTTTTGAAATAGAAAAGTCTAAGTGATGTCTTTTTCAACCATATCTTACTTGCCATGTAGTTAGAATATTAAGGTCATAAACTTAAGTACATAGTCTGCGTTGACATCATATGTTACATTAAATGAACTTTAACCTTCGATTAGCCTACGAACAAAGATTATGTTGCTGTCTTATAACTTTTTATGTCGTAGCTTATTAAGATTCTTGCCGTGAAATATACCAGTTATAATGAAAAAACAAGAAAAAAAAATCACTGAGTATTTTATTGTAAAGGAAAATACTAGGTTCAAATAATAATTAAGGAATGAAAGATGAAAATTTTTTTTCTTGAAACGCAACCTCTAGTACATCTAAAATTAGCATTTTTTAAGTGCATAATATACAATAACTTAAAATTTGGATATGATTTGCTCGTTTTGTCTATAAATTTGAATTCAAAGACTAAAAATTTTTACGGTAATTATCCTCAGCTGTTTATTTTAATTTATTACAATATACTATGTGAACACTAGTCGTTCAAAGTAGACTGACTTTGAATAGTGTTGAGCACTGTATTCAAGAAAATACGGAATTAAAGCAAAGTGGTTGCAAAAGCAAAGAGTAAAAATAGTTAAAACAATTATATTTTTAAAACAGAGTTACCAAAGAATGAATGCAATATAAATTACCATGCAGTGGCCAAAAAAAACAATGTTATAATTGGTGAAGTCTAGAGTATTCGTAAAAATTCAGGCAGACAGGCGTGAACTACCGCTTGACCGAAAAATGAAAAATTAGCTGCTCTCTTGACTATAAGATTGCAGACTATCTGTATAATCTACTCAACTTAGACAAGTAGTGAGTCCCTAGTCCTACCTGATTTATACTAACGTGCATACCAAGAAGCAGGTTGGTCTATTGATCAATAAGTATTTTCCTACCACAATATTTAAAAACTTAGAAAAGGAACTTTAATATTAAAAAGGTTTAAAGTATAACAGAAATGAGAAAGTAACACTTAAGTTTATGTTTTTAACAGCTTCATACAATTAATTGCTTAGTGCATAGAATTATACATATAAATTGGTGTTATCTTGCGTTAATTTTTATTAATTAATTTCTGAAGGGAATCTGTCAAAAAAATAGATCTGTTATAATCATACAATATGGACATAACAATCCTAGTATAATTCAGTGAAGTACTATTAAAAACAGTCAATGGACCTTTATTTACTGAATTCTTGCTAGTTTTGAAATTATTTATTATTTGTTGAAATATACTGATTTACAAAGTATTCAAAACGTCTTTTAAATAGTTTTCTTATTTACAAATTTAGAACTTTTTTTTTTGGATCAAGTATTGAAGACATGTAATAATGTAATGTATTTAAGTTTTCAGAAAAACACGCTTTTGAAAAAAGCAAGATCCTGCCAAGTGTCAGCTTTATTATTAATTTTTATATACATTTGCTTGTAGAGATGTAAGTTATTACCAAACAGGGAGTCACTGTTTGGTATTGACTGCAGTGGACTGTATTTTGTGGGTTGTGTGGTTGAGATTTCACAGCTTGGGAAGTGATTTAGATACGGTCAGTGAATAATTACTCTTGGTGTACCCAAGAGTAAGCAAAGCAGCAGTAATAGAAGAGCATAATCTTTTAGTTAAATAAGTATGTTATAAACTATTCATTAAAAGACTATGTTACAAACGCTAAAGTGTGGTTTAATGTAAAAGGCGTTGCTCGTCAAGCTTTCTTACATATTACAGTAAAATTGCTTCAACTTTAAATGTTGTAGGCAGATTGTTACAAAACTATTTCGTAAGATAGTGCACAACCATATGTATGTAAGTGTATTTAGAGAAGTAAATATGTATGTGAAGTTAATACGAAGCAACTCAAGAATTAAAAAGGGAACTTGAGAGAAGATAAACATTGCTGTTAATATTTGTTTATCTTTGTTTGTATTTTACGTAGTAGTTATCGCAGAACATGTAACTGAAATAAAAACACAAATGTAAAGATATAGCGATCAGTAATAAAACTAAAGTTTTCTGAAATCCTAAAAACTCACAGATTTTAAAAAACATAACTTTTGAATACTAAAAATTTCTCTCAAACCAGCAATACGCAATAATAAATGAAAAATATATTAAATAGTACAAAAAAAATGATTTTTTGGCAATGATTTTTTAAGTTTGAGCCTTAAAGCTACGTATAAACGAGATAAATTATTTATCTGATGTACTATATAAGGAATGTCCATCTGTTGTCTGGGGGAGTGAGTAAGAATGACGATTCATCTAAGTTAAACACTCTGTCTGGTTCCAAGTTTAGCAAGTTTTTTTTCTAAATTATCGTATACGTTTGCAAACCAGCTGTTTAAATCGTTTTCTGTTACAGAAGCCCGTGTTGACGTCAGATTTTGTATAATACATATGCTTAGATGAGAATAACGTGAAATAAATGCCGAATACCAATGTTTACCAGGTTGGTTGTCCTTGAACGGATTTTTCTTTTTTTTTAATTAAAAATTTTTGGGTAGCATCAAAGAGACAACCCTTGGTGATCGGCAAATCTCTGTCAGTACCACAAAAGATCCATTTTACTAGATCATCCTCTTCTTTCGTACTCAATACAGTAGGTGGACCTTTCCTGACGAAAAGCGTTCAAAGTTTGTGTAAGCTCCAGTACGGTGTATTTACATTCACTTTTTTTGTCTTGTTTTTTGAGACTCCTTCTTTGACAGTTTTTTGCGTTTGGTCTGCGATAAACCATTAGTTATTTTCTTAACTTCAGCTTTTTTTAGCCCTTACAAAAATAATACATAAATAAGTCACACTTAGTAAACAAGTAAACAAAAGTTCAAATTAAGGTTAGAATACTTACATACTAAGAGACTAGCTTCGCAAGGTATTTTATGACATAAAAACATTTTGAAAACACATGACTAGACAATTTAAATACTATTGTAAAAAAGCAACACATCACTTATGCATACTGTAATAATTACAAAATAACAGCATTGTATTACTTGTCATAAGCGAGTGTCAGATAAGGTTGGTCCAGTTTTGGTGCTAGAAAAATTTAAGGCAGCTAAAATGGACCGCACGCCGTGTGGTACCTTTTTGGATCTATGTTTCAAAATAGGAATTAAATTGGACCACTTTATTTTTTAAATAAATGATTTTTTTCAAGTCATTTCTAATCTGATATGTTATTTTAGACAGACCTTAAGTATAAACAAAAGAAAGCCTTGGTGAATTTTACAAAACTAATTTTTTGTTAAGTATGCAAAGCTTAAGACTTTTTATGTGCACTGATGAATTTTGACGCTCCATACTGTTTATTTCAACTAATAGCTTTTAACAATGTTTTTTATAATTAAAAAAAAAGAAAATTAATGACGTGAAGATATCTTTGGGCAATTGAAAACTCCAGAAACCTTCTCCAATTTTTTTATTGGGTAAAAGCAAAGCGTATTCGTAGATATAATTCATTTTGGACTTGTGGTTCACTAATTGTCTCATAAGAAAGTTGAAAAAAGTTGTAGATTGAAAAAAAAAAAGTTTAGCTATCGGTATGCGAGGAACTACAGACAGCTACTTCGTCAAATTACACACACAACTCACAGCTTATGCGAGTCTGCAAGTTACTTGTAAAAGTGCATGTATCGTCTCTACATTTAGTTAAACTTGTTAATATTAAATACGTCTCATAAATCAAAGTACCCTGAGCACTTACCTATCAATGGATTACAGTTTGATTAATTTTTAAAACCCAAATTTCTTATTGACAAGATGCAACCGAAATAAAACGCCAAATTACTTTATATATTTTCTTCCTAATAATTTATCATGAAAACTATGACAGTGAAACATTTCAGAATAACTCAAATGATTACACACAAATACATTTTAAATCATAATCCTACTATCCATAGTTATGTATTTATTATTCTCTATTTTTTTTTTGCTTAAAAGCTGATGAAAATAACTATTTATTAATAGTAATCTAAAGCAGCGCTAAGAACACTGTTGCATCATCTCTTCCGGACCGTAAAATGAAAATTTTTTGTTATAATTTTAATGCAACTTTTAAACACTGCATGATAATGCTTCGTATAAAAAATTTGTTATTTTTTCAAGAAAGATTTTTAGATTTCAAAAACTAAAGAAGAAAAACAATTTTTTTTCATTTAAAACAAATTTTTCGCCCATAAAGCCATTTTGTTGCCTCAAAGACTTCAAATTGCTATTATGCTACAAAACTTCCTTATAATTGCCAATACAAGTATCAATTGAGCATAGAAAGTATAAGTATGTAATAATTCTGTAATTCACTTTGCTCCAAGGTTACTTTATTGGATTGTTTTAAATTAATTAATAATTTCTGTATTTGGTAGATAAGGAAAGAAACTTAATTGTAACATTCGTCAATCATAAAACAGTATTTATTTAGACAATAATAATAGGATGAAAAAATTCTTACTAAAATAATGAAATGTATTTAATATATAACAGGACAATTTACTCATAATCGACACCGTTCTGTAAAACTGGTAACATTCGAATTGTTGCTTCTTAGTCGAGAATTGAAAGTTACCTTTGCTGATCGTTCATGCATAGTACAACAGTGATAAAATAACATTCTTCACCTCAATTGTTAAAGGCTTAAACCAATAACCCCTAAAAAAATTTAAAAACTGATCATATTAACGATACTAAAACTGCTCGATGTCGTAATTCTATATAGGATTGCCGCTTCCGCCCAACTAATTTTAAATCAGTTTTTTTGAGCTTAGACGAGATTACAAATTAAGAAATGATAAGGAAATTAGAATCTTGTATTTCAGTATTAAAACTGTTTATCGTAAGACCACCTAAAATTTATTTTTAATACATTATAATTGTATATAATTTTACTATTTCAGGTTTATGCGAGGAGAGATTCCTGTAAAATGCGACCCAGCAAACTGTACACGTAGCACAAACTCTAAAGAAGTTACTCCTGGAACTCCTGGAACTGCAAATATACGTCAACCTCCTAGTTACCAGCGAATGCAAAGTAATGAGAGTCGGAACAGTGACAAAGATTAAACTATTTGATTCTGTAACTTTTCAAAAAGTTGGAGAATCGAACACATCATGTAGTTCTGACTGTTTGTTTATAATTTTATGACGAAGAAAACTCAATATTAAAAAAAGCTTATTTTTTATATTATATTTCATAGTATTCTTTAAAAAAACGTTTAAATAAATAAAACTCTTTTTAAAAGAATTATTCACACTCTGTAGACTAATTTGAAAAAGTTCACTTCTTTTTCGTTAAACACATTATCTAAATGAACTCTTATTTTGATGTTTCAGGTATGAAAAAACCACATTACCTTGTGGATAAAATTTTTATTTATTATTTATGCAAAATTTTTTTAGTATTTTTAAAAATTTTTTATTGTTAAAAATAATTCTCACACAAAAAAAACACCAAAATGCTTTTTTTCTAACAATAAGTAGAGAGTTCAGTTTTTATCTCGGACGTCATGTTTCATCTTGCATTACAAGGGAATGTTATATCTTTCTTTTATATTACGTGGTACACTTATCAATATCTTCTTAATACTGGCACAAATATCTTATTAATCATTTATTACACTGAAAATTTTTTCACTTTCGACTTTTGCATGGTGATGTTTATTGTTTTCACAGATTATTACGCGAACATTGTTAAATAATTATTATAGTTTATAAAACGATATAGCTGAAAAATTCCATTTTAGTTAGGAATTGTGTTAGCATTATGAATGAACATAGTTATACTTCAATTAGCTATGCCAATATGACTGATAATAAGTAGTTGTATTATACAACATCGTATTTATAAACAAAATGGCGGTCACAGCAACTCTAATCATACTTTGGGATAATGCTTGAAGTATGAAAAATTATACTGCCAGATAATGCAACATTTACTTGAGCACTTTAAGTTACATTAGGATTGTGATTTTATTGTAAAAAATCATAAGTATTATAGTTTCTGATATGATAAAACTAAACACATGATGACACTCATTTCAGTAGAGAAGAAAGATATGGCTAGCGATTATTGTGAGTGGTCTGACTACGCAAGCGAGAGTTTTCTGTGGAAGTCAGTCGTGGTTGAAGAAGTGGGATTTATAAAGTAGCTCAAGACAGCGCAAAAAGTCACGAGAAAATGCCGAAGATAAGTGAAGGATGGCCTTATACCATAGCAGTATTGTCATGGGCACAACAATAATAACTTACACTGAGAAAAAAATTCAAACAGTATGTCTTGCCCATTGAACTGTTTGACACTACACATACCAGCGGTACCTTGCTACGTCAGTACTGAAATTTTGTATAAACGTATTGTGCAAGGCACTTTGATGCACGAGTACAACTTATCTCACTGTATAGGAGTGTTTAAAACTGCTAAATAATTAAACTATTTCAAGTGTATACAGTGATGAGCAATTTAACGTGTAGTATGAGGATTACAGTGTATATGTTTCGCTTTTTTTTCTTCCTAATGTTATTTCTTGTTTCCGTGACTGGAAGAGAGAGCATGGTTATTAAAAGAATAACAGCGAATTTTGAGCGTGAATGTGAATGATTATTTTATTGTAAAAAGATAAGGGAGCGTGCTGGTGAGTGGGTATGTAAGAAATGTACAAGCATTAAGCAGGTGGAAAAGCTGTTGGCAGGAATAGACAGTGGAGATATATAAAAAGAAAGGTTTTCTTGATGATTTAGATGAATATTTTACCTTAGTTAAATCTCTCTGTTAAAGCTTGTATTGCAACCAAGTAACTCTGAGTGATTCGAATTTCATTTGAATACTCTTTTTTCTTAACATTTTCAAAAATAACTTGGAGAATCACAGAAGAGTGGTTGGTTTCAAGCTATAGTTGCTATTCTCCTAGGCAAATTTTGGGTAATCATACACTGGTTTGCATTTGCTCCAGCGTTATACTGATATGTATTGTAAGTAACTAATGGTGGAGTAAAGACTAACAGTAGTAGTCAGCTCAGCTCTGTTTTCTAGTAAGTCTTACCACGACAGTATAACACTGGAGTAAATACGTATCTGTTCGAGATCATACTATTTTAGCTCATTAGAATGTCATGTGTTATGTATGGGTAAGGTATACTTATATCTAACTGGCCAAGCTAGTATAATTTTATATTTTCTGGGCTTTTCTCGTGGCTTGAGAAGAGATTGAAAGTCCAGAATTGTGATTTAAAATTGACCCATAAAATATTTTACGATCTTGAATCATTAATTAAATTCGTCACAATAACGTCTTGTGATTGAAACGCTCAGAGAAAAAAAATTTTCCTCCTCTATTGAGCGACTACCAAGGGAAAGACTTCGGTATCAAGAACAATCAAGATGCAGCAATACAAAATAAGGTCAGTTTAACTTAAAAAGAAACTGAAGAAGGACTACTGTGCAAGAGAATTTCCCTACTTCAAAGTTTGATAGACGAAAGAGGGAATAACCTACTTATGCACACGCATAGATACCAAAGTAAAGTAAGAAAAAAAGTAAAGTAAGGAAGGGGCACTTGACCACGTGTATGAGAGTGTCACATATATATCAAAACAAATTATACGTCAAGTTCATGCTTGATTATGCTCAGCACTATTTTAGATTAATATACTTATCGTATAAGATAATATTCTCTTATTCAAAAATACTGTTCTAATAATGTAACATTTTCAGTTCTAAGTTAGCTCCTTATTGTTTCAGAATTTTCTTAAGCTATTATATACACTTTTTTAATGCAGTAAGTCATTTAAATATTCTTGTCGCAACTTTTCATCTTGTGTCAGAATTTAGAAATTGTTAGCTTTTTTTAATATCCAACTGTATATGTATTTTTTAAGCACAATGTACTTAATACAATATGATGGTACCTTATAAGTTAATTCTGTTGTAAAACAAGTAATGGTATGGTTTTTGAAGTAAATCATGCTGTTGTAGTTAAAAAGTTTAAGGTCACAGTTCTCAGTGTCATCCATTCAGAATGTTTTTCGCTTACTTTCTACTAAGAGTTAAACATATTTTGATTACTTGCTGATATTATTTGAGCTTATTTGTTTACATGACAATCTTTAGTATAATTACTCATACTATTTAAGGTTATTGTATCATGCACTGAAAAATTTTCAAACGACATGTTAATCACTCCGTGATGTAAGTCCTTTAACACACAAATATAAGCTTCGTTAACTCGATGTATTTTTCTATGCAATCTATGGCTTGGTAAGAAGGCTTCCAAAAGGAAAAATGAGTAAATAGTGCCAAGTATGCATGATCATTCATGGGAATGAATCTAAAGTTTTTAAATATGATTGTGAAAAGCTTCATGGAGTGTGCGTCATAACAAGTGAAGGGAGTTGGTGGTCCCCTATATTCGGTCTCTATAATTGTGTACATGTTGGGGGAACTTTTGGTGAAGCCTTTGGTCTAGTAAAAATGGGACTGCACGATTAACTACATGTAATGCCAGCCATGACTTATGGTTATCCTCAGTGATAAAATCAGAATTGTAGGATTTTTAGGAGTTTGTAACTGGCCACGAATGAAGTCTATTTAATCTTAATTGTGTTGTTCTTTCAAGTATCGAGATCTTCAATGCTTAAACAAAAGATGAGGGTAGTATCTCCTTCCAAGGTATAGCTCCGAAGTTTGAAGAGTAATTATCCGTATATTACTAGATCTAATTTTATTACTAATTTACCTATAAGGAGAAGTGATCTTCGAAAAACGTGTCTATCGTGTATAACTATAACATAACATTACTATAAATTATATGTAATTCACACATAGTGATACACTTGACCTCTTATTATGCATTTTTGATATTCTTTTTCTTTTGATATACTTACAATTAGACGATTTTAAAATATAATTTTTTCTGCGTGTATTTTTATTTGATGATTATGACATTAGAAAAAAAAAGAAAAGTTTGTTGCGTCTGTTTGTTGCTAATCGTTAATACTTTTTGGAATTGCCCCCTCCCTCCTCCCCAAAATAATCATGTTTCTTTGCAAGAATCTCTTAAATATGAAAGGCATATGAACCTTCAAGATTTATTAAGGTGGAGAAAATAATGAAAATAAGGGAAGACTCTCCATAAATTTTTCTCTACAAATCTTATTTTAAAACGTCATTTAATAGCTTAGTGGTCGGTGGTGGGTAGATTGCTCATGACAGCACCTTTACTCTTGAGGAAGTGAAACGGTCTGAAACTTCAGGAGCAGGGTAGTGGAGGTAGGTGCCCGTACGATTGGCTGGTCAAATCATTGTGCCAATAAGAGTTAACGGATAATTTTATAAATATACAAGGGCGCTGGTGCATAATCAGTCAATCAGCAATCGTTAAACGACTGTCGGTGATCGATCAAGGGTTGTTGGTACGATTTTTTTGAGGTATCAAGCAGAGAGAAGTAGCTATGTTAGTCTGAAGAGTTGATTTCCTCCTTTTAAACAGAGTTTGGGATTTCCCATGGCTAACGTAATTTTAAAAACTCGGCATCGTTGAAAGCGTTGGTTGTATGGCGATTGGTTGGGTGGAATCAAATAGCTGTGTGGGTTGTAAGAAGAGCGGGGCCAGAGCCGACATCCAGGGTCAGGAGTCCCTAGAAACTGGAAGGTCTTCGTGATAGCGGTGAGTACGGCTTGTCTGTTAATGCAGTGGCTATAGTGTGTGGAAAGTGCATAATACAGTCAGGGTGACAAGTTTTCGTACCCGTTTCTTCGGGTTTGTGTCTTCTTCGGTGCATGTTAGTGGCTAGGTGACACGTGGCTAGCTGTGACTCGAGTCACAAAGCGCACTTCGTGCCCTTCTAGAGTGAACCGGTTAGTAGCTCACGAATAGTGGATTCTCGGGAGTATAGCACTTAAAGCTACAATGCTGGGGTAGTACTAGAGAGGCCGTAGCTGCACACCTGAGTCTGCAGAATTATGCTCGGGGTAGATAAGTGCGTATACCTAGCTATCCAGGTACAACGTTACGCAATGAATAAAAAATCTCATGCGTCAATCCTTATAGGTTCGTTTATTATAGATTGGGTATAACGAATTTATCGATGAATTTGATTGTTGAACAAACTAATTTATATCAACAACAAAATTCTAAATTATTGCGTAAAAATATGCAATCGTGGAATGATATAAATATTAAAGAATTACGT